GTGAGGACAAAGATGGAATGCCTCGGTTCCAGTAAAAAGGGTCTCCGGTTCTCTACACTTACCATACGAAACAGCATCGTTACGCTACTATTTTACGCTGGTATTCTGTGAGACCGAGCCGACCTATTCCTGCTATAACCATACCACGTAAAAAGAGTTGACCAAACTTTTTTACGTCAACAATAAAATTGACATCGTTCTCGTAGTTTGTAGTTTTGTAAAACTGTAATAAGAATGTCTATCAATTAATAAGTGACTTTAGTGGGAATAGATAATTAGCATCGTTTTATTAGTATTAATTAACTATCATAACTAATTACTAATTAATTTCAAAGAAGAAGCAACGATTTTGTATTTATAATTTTTAATTAGTATTTTTTTAAATACAGTAAATTATCATTTAAGTACGTTACATTTGAGTTTGTTCCCTTACTTATGTCTGCCGCCAAGTAGCTGGAAGGTTACTTCGACAGGTATTAAGATATTAATATAATACTATTATTATTTTCTATATTATCATTTACGTTACACCTGCGTCAATACCACTCTCATATCGATATCTGCCGCCAAGCTGCAATGCACAATGATGTTTTTCAGTTTGCAGTGCGTGGGATGCAGTGGCCTATTAGTTGAATTGGAAGTTTTTGTTTTACAAAAATTTGAAAATCCAGTTTTTACTGTAAAGTTGCTTATTATATCTTTATAATAATGTTTCTTACAGAATCATCAATATTAAATGGATGCTACAGTCGTTCTGAAAGCCTGTAAAGACCAATTTAATAGATCTTTCATTTCATATTTTTTTACAAATATATATATATATATAATATATATATATATATATATATATATATATATATGTATATAACTACTATGAGTACGTGTACCCAACATTAAGTTAAAATCGTGATGATCTAAAGGGGACAGAGCTACTTATTCACAACATATTGATCTCACCTGCATATATTGCACTGTGCTCTGACGAATGGCATTATATTCGACAAGGCAAACCCAACCTTAACCTCTACAATGGGAGTGTCCCATGACCAGCAATGGATTTTTACGGCTCGATGAAGAATGTCAATAATACTATAGGTACATGTTTCTATATTCCATGCCAAAGCAAGGCATAATGAACTGTATTAAACTTTACGACAGCTAATTGCTGTGTGAGATAGAGAACGAGTTGAATTTAACACGCGTTTACTGTACCCGTGATTCAAACATGTAAAATAAAAAAAAATTAAACGTGAAATTTAAGCGTCGAATGTACTTGTTCCCATTACAATATGTTGTGTTAAACGAAACAACTTTGTTGACTTTCGAACATACAAACATCGGAACGTAGACAGGTACACACGTACACGTACATACATAGAATAGGAAATTATTAAAATAAAAGTGTCGAAAAGTTCATCAAAAATGGATTCAAAGATATTCTTTCACATTTATATTTTTAACAAATAATAAAGATATTCATATTTACTCATATTTCAACAAAATAAGTTTAGTTTTATTTATGGTAACTTAGTTGATAAAATGATTCAATGCATACACATTCGTTGAAGTCTTTTATATGAAAAAGAAAACCATTTGACTCTATCTAGAGTAAATCAATTCATGTTTCTTATATTTAAATTACTTGAACAAAGAGCAATATGAAAGTGTATATTAAAAATTGAAGAATTAAGTACGAAGTTACATAAGTTTAAGATGATAATATATGATAAAGGAAAGTCGTAAAGATAGGGAAAGTAGTAAATCTGTGAAATGTTGAATATCGCATTTTCAAGGGGACTTTTATCAAGAATATCCAATGTTTCATTTCAACATTTCTCAGCGTCTACCCTAAATAGTTAGGGCTTAAGAAGACTGACTGACGTCAAGACCGGGACCATTCCTTACGGACCTATTTTTTATAGGATAGGGTGACAAACGAGCACACAGTCCACCTGATGATAAGTAGTTGCTGTGGCCCATAGACATCTCTACATTTATCCTCGTTTACAAATCAAAATGCAGATGCGTTGCCACCCGTGAGGACTAAGATAGAATGCCTCATTTCCAGTAAAAAGTGTCTCCGGTTCTCTACACTCACAATACGAAACACAGCAGTGTTAAGCTGCTATTTGACGCTGGTATTCTGTGAGAGCGTGGTCCTTCCCCGGTCGAGCTGACCCGTTCGTGCTACAACTATACTACTATTATAGCTGCAGCATGGCTCTATTGAACTATTGAAACGCTAAACGATAACACGAAGTGTAGGGCGGCTCCCATTAGATGTGAATATGACGTACGATATACAATCGGTGAATGAAGGTGGACCGTGGTTGGTTGTATTCCTTGGATGAGGGTTATGTTCAAATGTAAATTTGTAAATATTTGTAAAAAAATATGAAATGAAAGATCTATTAAATTGGTCTTTACAGGCTTTCAGAACGACTGTAGCATCCATTTAATATTGATGATTCTGTAAGAAACATTATTATAAAGATATAATAAGCAACTTTACAGTAAAAACTGGATTTTCAAATTTTTGTAAAACAAAAACTTCCAATTCAACTAATAGGCCACTGCATCCCACGCACTGCAAACTGAAAAACATCATTGTGCATTGCAGCTTGGCGGCAGATATCGATATGAGAGTGGTATTGACGCAGGTGTAACGTAAATGATAATATAGAAAATAATAATAGTATTATATTAATATCTTAATACCTGTCGAAGTAACCTTCCAGCTACTTGGCGGCAGACATAAGTAAGGGAACAAACTCAAATGTAACGTACTTAAATGATAATTTACTGTATTTAAAAAAATACTAATTAAAAATTATAAATACAAAATCGTTGCTTCTTCTTTGAAATTAATTAGTAATTAGTTATGATAGTTAATTAATACTAATAAAACGATGCTAATTATCTATTCCCACTAAAGTCACTTATTAATTGATAGACATTCTTATTACAGTTTTACAAAACTACAAACTACGAGAACGATGTCAATTTTATTGTTGACGTAAAAAAGTTTGGTCAACTCTTTTTACGTGGTATGGTTATAGCAGGAATAGGTCGGCTCGGTCTCACAGAATACCAGCGTAAAATAGTAGCGTAACGATGCTGTTTCGTATGGTAAGTGTAGAGAACCGGAGACCCTTTTTACTGGAACCGAGGCATTCCATCTTTGTCCTCACGGGTGACGACGCATCTGCATTTTGATTCGTAATTCGTGAGGATAGATGTAGATGTCTTTGGGCCACAGCAACTACTTACCATCAGGTGGACTGTGTGCTCGTTTGTCACCCTATCGTATAAAAAAACTCTGTTGTTTTGATACCACAACCAAGCAAATAGTCCATCTGATGATGGCAAGTGGACATTAATTGTAATTGATTGCGATTTAATGTGCAGATACGCGTTTTTACCTCTGAGGGCCAACATGGCCTTCGTTACTAGTGGAAAAGTGGCCTTAAAATTCTTACAATAAGATATAATTGATAGTTTATGCGACCACCCTTCAATTTTTTAATTATAATTCACCTGCCTCGACGTCAAAACGTACTTCCCACAGATAACATATCAAAGTGCTCTTAATGTTATTGTTTTGTAAACACCAGGTTCCTTTTTGATCACTTTACGTGTTAAAACTGATGCCGCTTTTAGATAACTGTTGCTATATAACATTCATCTTACTGATTTTTTCATAAGCTTGCTATTCTATTGGGACATTTTTGTTATTTCTATAATTTTTCCAATTTTATATACCTACCTATCGAAAATAACTGATTAATAATAAGAAATCGGCTTTACAAACGTGAATAACAATAAAGTAATAATAATAATAATAATGTCTTTCAGAGCGAATTTCAGTCAGGGCGGCCTGTCTCAACGGAGACTAGATAAGTGCTTAAGAAAGGATTATAGCCTCAGAGTGTATGCGCAAGAACAGGTACACAGTCCAATGAGACGGCAAACCAACACGACTAGATATAGATTCAGAACCAAGGGATTAAGTGCTTTCTGAAACACGGGGTGAAACACCGCCAACTTCCTGATTCCGGGCCGCTACTGAGAATTTTTGGCTCAAATCAGGATTCGAACCCGGGGCTTCATGATCAACAGTTGCGTTTTTGGTTAAAATAAAGTAATATGTATATGATAGGACGTCACTGATAAAAAATTAAGGTATTAGCATAATAAACAAAAAGGAATAAAATAACGCTATTGAAAATTTCCAATAGTATTAAATGAATGTAATTGTTCAAGGCAAGGAAAACGAGTGTATAATTTAAACAAAATAATTTGCTCCATTGTTACACCTGTCTCGAATGATTACTCATTGATGCCTAACAATACGGGTATTGCCATGATGTCAATAATCAATGGGCCTGCAGAAATCGATGATGTTTACTGACTTTCTATTAAAAGTATTAAATTAGGATTCATTTATTCTTATAATTGGATGGTAAATCAATATGCAGCTACCTTTAACGTGACAACATTTGTAACATTTAAATAAATTAAACGCTAAAAACATCTTATCTTTGTACGTATGTACCTAAGAAACATGATTAAAATTAACTACCAACTATAATTAGAAACTTAATGAATAAAAATTCGCCTGATATACACTATTTGCGTTCTTCTTCGTAACTTTCTTCTACAACGGTAAATTTCGTCTGTTATTTCGTACATTACAGTAAATGCGATAAAATGAAAATCGTTCTAAGAACACTTAAAATTCTTGTAAGGTACTTATTGGAAATAATCTCATAGGTGTATCATTCGTTAACCAGGTGTCATAATTCACGAATAAACAACGCATGAGGCTACGTGGAAGTGAACTCAAGAGATCAAATAACAGAACGTGGAACGAAGGTGCGCATGCGTTCAGGCAATCATTAGATCAAACCCCAATTCCGTTAGATAATACACAGTGACTTAAGTCACCTGACCACAAGTAAACAATCGTAGGTCATAATGTCACGTCTCAAGAAATTTACCGTTAAGATCCGCTGCTGCGAGTGGCTCGATCAAACGCTCGTGCTCGCCCTCGTCATATCACAAGCACACAACAAAACTATCACTAGGTTTGATCACTGCACATGGACACCGGTCACTGATCCTTAGGCATTTCGTCGTTCGCATTCGGTATTGTGTACTAGGGCCGCGTCGACTGCGCACAGGACCACCAAATGCGACGGACCATGAACGTTAACCTACCTGCAGCGCTTGCGTGTCGCCTATCGGCCCACCGGACCAGTGCAACTGCTTTGCCGACATTACATATAGCCTTATTTTTAACAACCTCCCTAATAAGCAGATAATCTAGTTACATACCAAAAATAGCTTTGCTAACGGATCACCTTGGTTTTCAACAACACTTCTCTATATATAAACCGTAAATTTTTACTCAAATAAGCATAAACTTGTACAATAACCTGGCATCAAAGCCTTCTACTACTTTACCTACATAAAGGCGCCATCTATGAGCCTTTTGTAGAATGTCCATAACATTAACGTTTACTAAAACAAAGTACAGTAATTTTACCATTTTACCTATTTGTGGTGTTAAAATTAAATTTATTGAATATTTAAAAAAAAAACTAACGTTGTAGTTATAATGAAAAAATACTTATGTTTTCTTGCAAATTAGAAACACGTATGTAATAAAGCTTTGGCAACTCATAATTTATTATAAAAATTTAAATTAATGTCAGAATTTTTCAATAGATGTCGTATCAGAACTTCGATAGAGCCTTATTTTTCCACATCTATCAATAACGTCGTATATAATGACGTGTGAGTTAGTAATTCAAAAACAACTTTGTTTTATTTAGTTTGAAAACAAAGACGCAATAATGGTAACGGATACAATGCTTTTATAATTACGCGGTGTTTTGAATGGATCGTGGAATTGAAAATGTTAAGATTGCGGATTAGTCACAAATTTTATCGACCCCGGATCTGCCAATGCATTAATAGGTTGAAGACACACTGTGATGTGACTATTTTTTTAAATAAGAGTGACAAACACGTGATGAGTCCACAGACACCTCTACACACTTCTGTCAAAATGTAGATATGTTGTCACACCTGAGGACTACGACGAAATGCCTCGATACGAATAAAAAGGGTCTCCGGTTCTCTATAGGTACTCACCATTTGTAACACTGCAGCATTAACTTATTATTCTACGCTGGTGTTCTGTGAAAGCAAGGTGCTTTCCCGGTCGAGCCGACACATTCGTGTTGCAAACATAATATAGATGCAACATTTATGAGTTTTACTCTAGGCTAGGCTAATAAGAATTGAGTCTGTCAAAATTTGAGACTCCCATTTTTTTACCCTTTATTCGTAATATAGCAACATTATTTATTATTTATAATATACATCATCTGCACTATATAATAGTTCAATTTCTCCAATTAACCGAAACGATAGGTTATGTTTTCCTATTCCGATGCTGGCCTCCTATCCCGCCGCGACTTGGCTCCGTGCAACCATACTGTAACGGTGTTCGGGCTTCTTCCTTCGGCTAGTTTCTTATTCGGGCAGCGAAGGTCCAATTGAAAAGGAAAGGAAATCCGGCAGTGAAGGACCAATTTAAAAGGAAAGGAAAGTCTTCGTCGCTAGCCCTGCAGCAGAGATCAACCAATTATTGACTTTCTATTCACAGACCAATACCACACCACGTTGGGTTCGGGAACAACGAGGTGAGCGTGACCCCTGAGTGGACATTCAATTCACAACCTGCCTCCCTTTCTCAAAAGAAAGGGTTGACGACTAAAATTATACGTGGTAGAGCCATGCTGCAGCTATATTAGTAGTATAGTCGTAGCACGAATGGGTCGGCTCGACCGGAGAAGGACCACGCTCTCACAGAATACCAGCGTAAAATAGCAGCTTAACACTGCTGTGTTTCGTATGGTGAGTGTAGAGAACCGGAGACCCTTTTTACTAGAAAAGAGGCATTCCATCTTAGTCCTCATGGTGACAACGCATCTGCATTTTGATTCGCAAACGAGGATAAATGTAGATGTCTATGGGCCACAGCAACCACTTACCATCAGGTGGACTGTGTGCTCGTTTGTCACCCTATCCTATAAAAAAGGTCCGTAAGGAATGGTCCCGGTCTTGACGTCAGTCAGTCTTCTTAAGCCCTAACTATTTAGCGTCGACGCTGAGAAATGTTGAAATGAAACATTGGATATTTTTGATAAAAGTCCCCTTGAAAATGCGATATTCAACATTTCACTGATTTACTACTTTCCTTATCAGTTTCTATTTGTTGTTGATGTTTCATGAGTACCTACTATCACCGTCGTACATTATCCTACTTAGTTTGAGTAAGCATAGACAAATATCACAGGTTTTTTACTAGTTATTTAGTTAACAGATATCTTTAATGGGCCTATAAACCTTAGAGAATTGAGGAAGGCGAATAAAGAAAACAGAGGAAGAAAGTGACTCTACTATGTCAATAGCGTTTTCAAACATTAATGAATACAAACAACAACAAAGAAACAACAATTTTTAATGTAGATACTGAAATAATTTTGGAAACGGCAAAATAGAACCGTTCTCTTGAGCCAGTAGTTTTTAGAAAGCGAATAAAAGAATAAATATACAAGATATAGGGATTAGTGCGTCTTTGCAAACCTGTTAATCAAGTACTGAAACTATATATTGTATTCTTCTTCTATTTGAGGTTCGTGTGTAATCAATAATTATAAAAACAGTACCGTCTCCTGAAATCTATACAAATAAATAAAATTGAAGTGTCTGTTTGTAATGTTAAAATAACAGCTTTTTACTCAATGCATATATACCAGAAACTATAAGATTTTTCCAGCATTTTCCATAGTCCTCTCTTATGTGCGTCACTAATGGGACAAAACACATCACATTAGAGTCATCACACGGTGGTATAAATGTTTACTAGCAACAATTTGAGGTTTTAATTAAAGGACGGGTAGAGTTTCTTTTCTGCTTAGGACTCCGTCAAGGTTTATCACTATCATAAGGAAACGTTTTCATACATACTAGGGTTAATAAGAATGTATAGAAATAAGCGCAGTTAACAAGTTGAAAGCAGCATTTGAAAGTTTACATATAAACAATTCGTAGCTGAAAATCTGGCAAGATTTGACAATCTAGAAGCTCAGTTATAGAAGATTAAATAATGATGAATGAATTTAAATACAATCAACAGGCCTTCTTTGCTTGAATTTGGTTAAAGTTATCCATGGACTGTAGGAGCTAATAGCAATCAAGTGGACCATTACCTCGTAAACAAAATATTTTATTAGCCACATGAAGCAATAATGATAAGTCTATTTGCGTATGACCTTTTATAAATATCTTACAGCTGTCTGTCGTAGGCAAAACCAAACAATAATCAGAACTCTAGTAAAACTTAATTTCATTCACGATCTAGACTAAAGTAAGGTTTGTTATTGACTTGGGGAGATAGAAACTGAATGAATATTCATCGTTATATACGTAATTCATTCGTCTTTTCCAATGTCAACGGTATTATATGTGAGTTTTATTATAATTTTGTTTCGATTGTGTATTTACTTAAAATATGTATATTTACTTAAAATTACATAATTGTCATTTTGGAATATTTGAACGCTGATACTAAAAATTGCATTATTCTTATTTTCTTTTTTCTTATCTTTTTTTATAGAATAAGGGTGACAAACGAGCATACAGTCCATCTGATGGTAAGTGGTTGCTGCGGCCCATAGACAACTACATCTATCCTCGACTACAAATCAAAACGCAGATGAACTGCCACCCGTGAGGAATAAGATGGAATGCCTAGTTTCCAGTAAAAATGGTCTCCAGTTCTCTACACTCACCATACGAAACACAGCAGCGTCAAGCTGCTATTTTACGCTGGTGTTCTATGAGAGCGTGTTCCTTTCCCCATCGAGCTGACCCAATCGTGCTACAAGTATACTAGTAACATAACTGCAGCATGGCTCTACCACGTATAAAAATTAAGTAAAAGATCTTATTACAAATTAAAACGTAACAGTTAACTAGGTACGAGGGTTTTCTCGTTTAAAAATAAATTTAATAAAAAAAAATTAATTTGCAAATTGTATGTGATTTTTTTGTTACCTCTAACATACCTCTAACTGACACGAGCATCGGTGAAGGGGGCGGTGTTTCACAATCCTCTTATTCTCCTGAAAATGCAGAGGCAATAAAACCACATACAATTCGCAAGTTCTTTTCTTTAATGAAAATATTTTTTTTAATGTTCCAGTTTAAAAAATTATTTCTTTACGTTTGAATATTGACTCTGATAACGCACTTAAGGCGCTGTACATATTTAAACTAGGCTTCATTAAAACAGTTCACAAATAGACACAAAATATGCCTTGGTGCACAGAAAAATGCTGACTGATTTTTTTTTTCACAATTTATATAATTAGATTTCCCTCCGTATGCGTAAATACATCAAAATAATAAAATTAAATTAAAATAATTAGCTTGTCTAATTTTTATGTATCCTTCAAATAACCCACAAATAAAAAAAAAACTGTTGTTTTATGTAAAAAGGTTATTCACTCGGGGAAAAAATTATGAAGCAGCTGTTTTTTTACATTTTAGGGCTAGCGCTATTGTAAAATTTGGAAAATAACTATTATTTTAAAAATACCAATATAAAATATATGTCTGATACGAAATATATGGGATTCGAACCACCAGTCATCGCGGAAACGCGGTGCGAAGGCGGAGAGCGGCGCGCTTGACCAATTGTACATTTTACATCGAGAGTCGGCGAGATTCCCGTGGTGCACCCCGCAGTGGGCGGGACTACTCGTCCCTTACTTCATCTCCTTCACCCCCTCAAATTCATAAAAGTCGTCTATTCACCTCGCCTTAACGGGAACTACAGGGTTTTTGTTACATGTTGCATAGTAAACGTACTATACTAGGTCTGCCGAATTTGCAGAGAAGCTTCAGAATAAGTAACATAGGCAAAAATGGTGAAGAAAAATTAACTAACAAAAATTCTCAAACATTCTGTATTGAATGCAATACCACGCATTTTTAATTTTAAAAATAATGATTTTAACTGATTTTACTGCGCATGCGCATAATGTGTGTGACGTTCGTAACGGTCGATTGGTAGGCAAAATCGTTGTTTCCCATAAATCACATTCAATTTGGGATACTTT